CCCCTCTCTTTATGAAACTATGTGGCTACAAAATCAATAACAGATTACAGAATTTAATAAAGATGTCAACAGTTTGGAATATATTTATATATTGATATATTTCTAATCTATTTAACAAAGCTTTTCGAGTATATATATATATGTCTTAATTAAGCTAGCCAAAGCGCTAGGCCAAATTCGCTGACATTTTTTAGACACACTTTTTTTTCTAAAGTGTTTTTAAAATTTCACGGGCAACGCCAGGCCCCTCAGCTAGTCAATAATAAAGCTTTTCGCTCAAATATATTTCCAAAATAGATATGCCAAATAGATAAATGCCATATAGATATGCCAAAAAGATATATGCTATGTAGATATGCCAAATAGATAAATGCTATATAGATATGCCAAATAGATAAATGATATATAGATATGCCAAATACATAAATGTCCAAATAGATAAATGCTATATAGATATGCCAAATAGATAAATGATATATTAATATGCCAAATACATAAATGTCCAAATAGATAAATGCTATATAGATATGCCAAATAGATAAATGATATATTAATATGCCAAATACATAAATGTCCAAATAGATAAATGCTATATAGATATGCCAAATAGATAAATGATATATTAATATGCCAAATACATAAATGTCCAAATAGATAAATGCTATATAGATATGCCAAATAGATAAATGATATATTAATATGCCAAATACATAAATGTCCAAATAGATAAATGCTAAAAGGGGTTAAATTAGATAAATGCTACAGTGTGTCCAAATAGATAAATGCTACAGTGGGTCCTAATAGATAAGTGCTACAGTGGTTCCAAATAGATAAATGCTACAGGGGGTCCAAATAGATCAGTGCTACAGGGGGTCCAAATAGATAAATGCTACAGTGGGTCCAAATTATTTGCATGTCAAGATAAAAACAATATTATATTTAAACTAATTTAACAATTACATCTTTTTATAAACTAATACTTTTTCTGATTTTTCTATTCAAATTGGTGGATTTTCAAATTTTTTAATTTCGACATTTTTTCCAAAACAAATTGTTCATTTCCATTTGCCATAAACCTCCCTTGGATCACGTAAGTTTCGAGAGAAAAAATTGGAACGATCAATGCAAACAAACAAAGAAATATTTCAAAATTTTCGGGGGCAAAAAATGTTGATCGGTTTAGCCGTTTTGACGTCTATGTGATATAGACAGACAAATAGGCAGTCAAGCCAAATATGTTCAGAATAGTAATTAGTATAAATACTGACTATAATAATATACATACAATATATATATATATATATATAATAGGAAGTCTAACCTTGAATGAAAGATCTCCACCCAAGAACCTGGGATTCCAGAAACCTGAAAATAAGACAAAATTAGAAAATTTTATTCATCTCACGTTTTTATAAATTAGATTTTCCTAGATAATTTTATTAGATTTGATTCTTTTATTAGATTTGATACTTTGATTAGATTTTCGCTGAAAACCAAGACTTGTTTTTTCAGCTTTCCACAATTTACAACATATTTCATGTGGCAACTTTTAAATTATTTTTTAAATGCATAATATCCTGAGTGGCCTTTCCACATGCATGTACATTGTACAATTTATAATAATCATCTTCCAAAATGTAAAGGGTTATTTTAAAAGTCAATTTTTATTAAATGTTCACCTAAGCAAAACAAGGTAAAACAAAAAGATAATTTTAATAATTATTAACTCGTTATTACATGACATTAGATAAAGAAATTAATTATCTCCAGTATTGTTAATCTTTCTCTGCTCTCAAACAACTTATAAAACCAATATCTTTAATAGTTCTCCTTATATCTATTTAATTGAAATGTTTTGTTATCATTATTAAATTAGGTGGAAATAATAATCAAAATAGCCAAAAGCTATTTTCCACCTGCTTTATACTTGTAATGTTAATATAATTATCAATCTGTAATTGTAAACTCGTTCTGTACACAGATACATGTATTTTAGCAATAAACCTTATCTTATCTTATCTTATCTAATATTTGAACAATTTGACTTTTTTACATCACATGGAGGACGAATTTAATATTTTAAAAGCAGGAAATGTACTTTACAAGATCTTCTCATATATTTCGGGTCCTTCAAAGATATTTCATCTGGTCGGAAAGCATAATCAAAAAATTATTTGAGAGAAAACGCCGAAAAATGCCGTTTTTTTGCACTGTTTGACCTGTTTAAAGGAGGCCTGTAATCTTTTTTTCTGGGTGTAGCCATTGTTGCCTACGGAATTATCAAATGACAGACAGTAAGTAAGAATTTGGGTGATTTGTTTTATTCAATATTACAGATTTTTCATCCATTTAAGCACAAATAAAAATTATCGACTTTTAAAAATCACTCCGTATTCCCGGAATTAGCAACTGTAAATGTTCAAGCGTTCTTTTTCAAGTATACAAAGCTTTTACCATTTTCAAATTAGCCAATTTCCAAATGTAATATTTCCAAAGTAGCCAATTACCAAATGTAAAGTTTCCAAAGTAGCCAATTTCCAAATGTAATATTTCCAAAGTAGCCAATTTCCAAATGTAATATTTCCAAAGTAGCCAATTTCCAAATGTAAAGTTTCTTAAGTATGCTAAAAAGCTAAATATTTTTTGCAAATATTTTTCAAACAAAGTCTCCAGATTTGCACATTTTCCAAATAATATAAAAATAATAATAAAAAAGTGTTTAAAGAATATCCATAAATTGCTGCATAACAAGGATAAAAATACAACGTCGGGGAAAATTTCTTCTTAAATTAAAAAAGAATTATTAAAGGTCAAAAGTTTTCCTTGACTTTGTTCGAGGTTTTAAGGTCGTTAAATACAACCTATAATCGTAACAATAAAAATTCCCAAAACGTATTGTTTTAATTTTATGGTTATTTCAAATGCATTCGAAATTTAGGATAATTTTTGGTTTTCCACACTTGATTGTTCTAACTTTATAAATATGGTAAATGAAGTTTAGATTTAAAGTTTGATAAATCTTAATTTTCATTAAAATAAATACACAACTCTATAAGACGTAAAAATATTGAAATGTTTTCAAGTTTGTCTTCATTTGACCAATTAATAAAAAGTACAAGAGTTCAATGTTGTTAAATATAAACAATCCCTGTAATAGCAAACAGCGTGCCCCCCTTCGTTAATCATCACCCCCCCCCCCTCCCCTGATTATTCAATATCTG